CGTACCACAAGGGTCTCACTTAGGGCCCCTCCTATATAACGCTTATCTATATGATATATATACATGCTTTAAACATTCCTCGTACATGCTGTATGCAGATGATAAAAAGATATTTTTTAAAATAAAAAATTTAGAGGATTGTTATAAGCTTCAAGAAGATTTGAAGAGGTTGGACTATTACTACATAAATAATCGTATCTCTGTTAATGTCAAAAAATGTCAAACTTGCACATTCACACGCAAAAGTAAACCAGTAGAATATACTTACAGATTGAATGGAACAACAATTCAAAAAGTACAGGTAGTCCAAGACCTTGGCATTTTATTAGATTCCAAGCTTACATTTAGTAATCATATTGATTATATCACAAATAAAGCATACAGAAACTTAGGATTCGTAATACGTACATGTCAACCCTTCTCAAACTTACCTTGTATTAAATTATTATACTATGCCTATGTTCGCGGTATCTTAGAATATGGTAGCAACATATGTTGTCCACAATATCATACATATATTAACAAAATAGAAGTATTACAAAATAAATTTGAAAGTTCATGGACTACAAAATTAAAGAACGACATCAGGCATACAAAGAAATATGTGTATATCATAAATTCCTCTCATTAGAAGATAGAAGTAAAATGCTTGATCAAATGACACTGTATGACCTAATTCACGGCCGACTCGATAGTTCGTATTTGCTGGGACTTATTAACTTCTCAACGCCCATATATCAAACAAGACATACCAAATTGTTCTCACACACACACACACACCGATAAGCGTCGCTCTTTCTTTTTAATTATGTATAGATAACATAGGAAAACCTGTAATAAGGCTTATGTTAAGTTAATTCAATCGGATGTAATCTTTTTTTTAAAGCTGTTGGTTTTCTAAATAAATAAATAAATAAATAAATGTAGATGACTATGAGCCACAGCATCTACTTACTATCAAGTGGACTGTGTGCTTGTTTGTCACCCTTATGCTCTCACAGAATGCCAGCGTAAAATAGCAGCTCAATGCTGCTGTGCGTCGTATGGTGCGTGTAGAAAACCGGAGATCCTTTTTACTGGATACGAGGCATTCTATCTTAGTCCTCAGGGATGACAATGCATCTGCATTCTTATCGATGATACATATAGATGTCTATGGGCCACAACATCCACTTACCATCAGGTATTGTTACCCATATTCTATAAAAAAAATTAAATAGGTATTCCTTTAATCGTTTGTTTTATCATAATAAATTTTTAAATTAAAATATGATATGGTAACCTTTTTGCTTTAAAAATGAATAGAATTAAAGAGTAACACTATACGAAGGCATGATGCAATTAATATTTTGAAGAACCGAAAGAACTGGGATGCTGCCCTGCAGAAGCAGTTCCGTTCAGATACCAAAAGAACCGGGAAATTCCTGGAATTCCCGGGTGCATGCCCTAGTGCTGAATTTAATCTATGGTTACAAAAACTAACAGCCAACCAAGAAGCTTATATTCAAAGTGCATGCGCGACTATTAGCTTCGCAGGCGCGACGACATAGAGTGGCGCACATTCTTTGTTTGAAATAACTGTTCTAGTACGAAAGTACGTTATACTTCAATGGTGTTTAAATGGTAAATAAAGACTTCAAGATTATATTTTGTCCAATTTGGCGATTTGACAACAATAGATTCTATCGTCAAGGTCTGTTTGGTTTTGCTTTCGTCAAAATCTTTAGTGATACCTAAAAGTGTAGCAATTTTGTGTGTCTATGTCGGCGCATGTGAAGAATTAGTGTAAACGATGCTACAAGTGATTCAATGGTGCTATAAATCTCAAGGATTTTTATCTGCTTGGGAGGCTTTATATACTATCGTCATCACCTATCCGCTGGGTTAAGACATCTTTAAAACCTCCCTAAAACCTCATAATGTAACGCAGCAGCAAATTGTGATGAATTTGGTTTATAAAATGCATTGGATTAGGCTGTAAAGTCTATATATACACGCTACGGTATACATGTCAGATTTGCCTGTACAGTTACATCCATCAGTTAAATGTGGTAGAGCCATGCTGCAGCTACATTAGTAGTATAGTTGTAGCACGAATGGGTCGACTTGACCAGGAAAGGACCACGCGCTTACAGAATACCAGCGTAATTTTTTTTATATTTTTTGATGAAATAGAAATAAAAAAGGTCCTATGACTTTTTACGATAAAGTTAATATTTTAGGAGTTATGAATTTTTAAGTTTGAAAAATCCTAAATTCGGATACTTTAGACTCATTAAAAATATAGAACAGAATAAAATTTAAAAGGTATTTTTTTATATTCTTGAGATAATATATAATATTTTTTTAAGGGAGGATAAAAAAAATATTTTTATACCTATTTTTTTAATTATTTATTACGCGCGCTCACTAGTATTCATCTCTTTACTTAAAGTATCGCTGTCTCTCGCGCTGCATCGGCTTTTCGCCGTCCGGAATCATTATTTTTCTTAAAACTATTAACTTTATTAATATATTTAAAAATAACAATGTTATTAATAATTAAATTACCAACAGTTTACTTTTTATAAAAAAAAATCCAGAAATTCATAAAGGTTTATTTAACGCAATATAAGTACTTTTTGTACAAAAAATGTATGTTGTGTATAGAAATAAATAAAAAGACACGTATTTCAGGAAATTTCAATCTAAAAAAAATATTCAGAAAATTAGGGTTTTTCACTTTAGTTCAAATATGGCAGCAGAAATCACAAAAACTTTTAGCTATTTTATTTAAATTCTATGAAATAGCAAGTTTCTCATTTAACAAAAACTACTAAATTATTTCAGTGAGTCTCAATACGATTCACCTGCGAAGAATCTTAACACCGCAATTCAAAAAAGGTTGTAATTTGTACAACGCCATCTATTATTTTTGTGAGAAAACATCCTTTTTAATTTAAGGAAAACATATTTTTTACTGTGTTTTAAGTACTATAATAGAACGATACGAAATATATTACAATAGACCGTTTTTTTTTACACGCGAATCTTTTTATTACTATTTCTGAGATTTTGTAGCGCCATTAAACAAATTCTAACCTACATTTCAACATAATAATCATAACTTTCGATAGAATTAACCAATTTCAATAAAACAAAGATTAAATGAACTTGATAATACGCTTTATGATTTTCTTAAGGATTTCATTGAAAAAAGATATTTACTCAAAACGTCATGCGTCCATAAACGAACAGACAGACCGTCAGATAGTACAATTCTAAAAATTATAAAAATGTACTTATTTAATGATTTACAGTCCCCATAATGATTTTAGTCACAAATTAATATACTATACAATATTCAGAAACAGACACAACATGTTATTACCATTTTTATTATATGTATAGATTTAAAGAGAGATGGCGCTGTTAACATCGATTCTAAAAATAAGAGATTAATTGACACGATTAATACAATAAAAAACATAAAAGAACTTATAAATCAGTGCCTGCATAGTAAGCAAAAAAGAAAGTTTGATCCTCGCCGAAAAACGAAATTGTTAGTAGCTCTTTAAATTTGATTTACACGCAGTAGGGCAGCGTGTCGTTAATATAAAAGTTAGAAGCAAATATGAGACTCATCTACAGGAAAAAAATTTAACCTGCCTTTTTGTATCACATTTGTGCCACACCACCATCTATCGATGAAGTTGGTTAACTATTGTACTTTAATTTAGTTTAGATAATAAGTAATATTTTGTATATATTTATTACGTTCTTTATGTAATACTTTTGTTTACTGCGTTTTAGATATAATTATATCATTAAAGAACATTATTTTACATCATTTAATTATGATTTATAATATGATATTAATTTTAAAATGTACTTGATGATTCATCCAACGCCACTATTGAACAAATTCGTACCTATACTTAGTACCCATACTTTAGAATATTTGTCATAACTTTTGATATAATTAACCAATTTTAATGAAATAAAGACTAAACGTAACCTGAATATACACTTAATAATTTCCTTAACTATTCTTATGATATAAATTAGTACTTTATACGTGATACCTTAACAAGCAAACAGACAGACAGACAGACAGAAAAATCTAAAAATGGTAGAAATGTATTTAATTACTTATTTTTAGTACCTCTCAATCACTTTTATGACAAAAATATAAAATGTACAGACATCTGCTATTTACATTTTTATTATATGTATGGATAGATTACTTATTTTTAGTACCTCTCAATCACTTTTATTACAAAAATATAAAATGTACAGACATCTGCTATTTACATTTTTATTATATGTATAGATAAGATGCATCATATTAGCCTGTGGTAAGATAAAGTTGATACTTGATAGTTTTGGCGGGAACATGACCGTCGGCAGCTTTCTGCTTCTGTATTATTATTTAAATAATGATTTGAAGTCATCGATCACTAATAAAAAACTAGATACACAATCAGTGACAGAAAATGGCGTAACCGAATGTGCACCTACTCGAACTTATGGGTGCACTTTTAATCTAGTGGCATTCGAATGCTCCGACGGTAAACATGCCTCAGTGCTTGTTTAAAAAGTGTAAAAATCACACATCCAGGATGCTAAAAAAGGATGGAATTTCATATTTCCGGTAAGTATTAATATTAACACTATTTAATTGTTATCACTGTATTTTAAATACTGATATTTTGTCAAGAAATCATCGTAAAAGTATTTTTTAAATTAAGTCGTAATAAAATGAGTCATCACTGTTCGAGGTATATGCGTTGATTCTGTTCCATTTGTCGAGAGGCTATTGTTTTTTTTTTATTATTATTAAAGTATGATTGTTTTTTTTTTCTTTAATGAGACTTCTTTACTGTTTCTCTAAATATTATAGTAACATTTTATAGATTTAATTTTAAATAAGTATGTGGATGTAATAAAATTAAAGATGTAAGATTTTATTTTGTTTTTTTTTTAGCTTTCCTCGAGATCCAGTGAGATGTAGAGAATGAATGTCAGTTATAGCACGTCAAAGATCCGAAGAATTCTTCAAGCCGACCCAAAGAAGCGTTGTATGTTCGCAGCGATGCATATGATGACATGCAGCGATGACTACGAAAGGCATCAAGAGGCTACACAAAACAGCTGTACCTCGAATAGTATGTGAAATTTTAGTATATTGGGTTGAATTATTGAAGCACATCAATTATTATTAATGTGTTTTGTTTATAGGAAGCAAATGATCATGATGTAGAAGATGAGTCTTCTTTTGATAAAAAAACGATTGAGCAATGTTGCTTGCAACCACAAGTAAGTAGTTGTAAATATAACAATGATATTTTTATTTGTTAATATTTTACATTGTATGTTGATTAATTATAACTTCAATTCGTAATGAACTTCTCAGGCTTGATAGCAAAACCTTAAATTTATTTTGTTTTGTATTTTATATGCTACTTTTGATTATTTTAACATGTGATATAAATCATTATAAAATTATATTTTATCTCGTGTTTTATTATTGTTGATTCATTTCAGATAAATATTGAACCAAGAGTTGCTGAAGTTCTTAACAGCCCAACTTCATCAATAAGTATTGGCTCAATTCTGGATACGCCAAAAAAAGGTTTTATGAAGAAGGAACTTCTTGCTTGCAAAAGGCTTCTAACAATGAAAAACCACAAAATATCAAACTTACGAAAACAAAATAATAGACTAAAGAAAAAATACAGTAATTTGAAGGATGTTCTGTCTCTATTAAATAAACGTCAAACAGTAGATCAGTCATTACTTCATGACCTATCTAAACATATAGAAGTTACAGACACATTTAATGCTATTTATTTAAAGAACGTAAAAGGCAGAAAACTACCATTTTCTCGATATCCACCAGGTGCCAGAAAATTCGCTATCACACCACACTTCTATTGACCAGCTGCGTATAAGTACATACTAAAAATGTTTGACGCTTGCCTACCTCACCCGAATACTTTATGCAACTGGTACAGAAGTATAAATGCAGAGCCTGGTTTTACGGGAGAAGCATTTGACAGACTGAAAGAAAAAACAGCTAAAGCCAAAAAGGAAGTCATAGGTGCTATAATTGCTGACGAAATGTCAATACGACAACAGAAAATATGGACTGGTAAACGTTATGAGGGTTTAATTGACATGGGACTTGGCAACACTGACGCCACCAATGATATTGCCAGTCAAGTATATGTCATTATGTTAGTAGGTGTAAACGAATCATTTAAAATACCTATAGCTTATTTTTTCATTTCAAGTCTGACAGCTGAAGTAAAGGCCAATTTACTTAAAATTGCTTTAGAAAAATGCCATTCAGTTGGCATAAGAGTGATATCGTTGACTTTTGATGGTTAACATGTGGTAAAACAAATATTTGCCCTTCAGGCAACTACGAAGTGACTGTGTTTCTAGATGCATGTCACATGGTTAAACTTATGCGTAACACATTTGAGTCCAAAAAGATAATTAAGGATGCCAATCAGAAACTTATAAGATGGGATCCCATAGGTCGTCTTCATAATTTACAAGAAGAAAAGGGACTACATCTTGCCAACAAATTATCTCACCGCCACATAGCATTTAGAAATGAAATAATGAAGGTGAAATTAGCTACGCAACTCTTAAGTCGGAGTGTGGCTAGAGCTATTGAGTTTTGTGAAAAGCAACTACATCTTATCGCTTTTAAAGACTCTAGTGCAACATCCGACTTCATTTTAATTTTAAATAATATTTTTGACATATTAAACAGTAGGAATCTAAATGATCATGGATACAAAAAACCATTAAGTGTTAGTAATGCTGAACAAATAATGTTATATTTAGTAAAAACTAAACAATATTTAATATCTTTATGTGTCGATATCCGACGGAAAAAACCATAAAAAATAAAAACGAAACGAGAGTGGTTTACACCTCGGAAAATATTCCGTTATGGAAGTGCCAAACGAATACAGGTGTGATTGGACTTTTAGTCGGCATTGAAAGTTTGACATATTTGTACAAGTCTCTGGTGGAACCTGGTACCCTTTCTTTTCTTCCAAGTTATAAATTTAGCCAAGACCATGTAGAAATATTTTTTGGTCATGGCGGTCATAATAATAACCCCAATGCAGTGCAGCTAAAGTCCGCATATAAGAAAATGCTAATGCATTTAGAGCTATGTAATAAATTTACAGGAAATGCTGTACCGCTGGAAAATATTCCAATTATAAGTGGTAACAATACAATTTCCACTCTAAATATAACTTCAATAGGATATCGCTCAGAAAATGAAATAGAAATCATTAATTCCAGTAACAACTTAGAAGACACACATATACAAAAAAACTGTGACATATTATCGTTGGAACTCAATGAATCCGAATACAGATCCGAATATGTCGACCAAATCGTGGGGTATAAGGTATAAGCTGGAAACGTGGTACGCCGGTTGGTAAAAACTATGAAATGTAACGCGTGTGTAAATAGTTTACTAGCTCAAGATAGGCTTTTTTTTCACAAACTTATTGATGTGAAAAACCTAGGGGGACTGTTTTAATCATCTTTAGATGTATTTCTTGTTTGTAAAAAAACAGAAATTGCAATTAGGCACTACCACATATGTACTAACAAAAATCTCGATATTTCACATATTAGCAGCAAGGTATTGTGATCATTTTTAAGTGTCGACATATTTTCATCATGTCACGATAATAATCATAGATTTATTACAATAAAATCTATTGCCGAACGCTACCTTAAAGTAAGATTGCATTACATAGCAAAAAAAGATACAGAAAAAAATAAAAATCTATCGAAAAGACGATTATTTAATAAACCCATATTATTTCAAGGAAATTAATAAAATAATTATTCAGAATGTGGTCTATCTTATATAGGATAAACTAAAGGATTCATAAAAACCGGCGTTAAAGAACACATAGCTGATGTGAAGAATCGACGCTCCGGGAAGTCTGCAGTCTGAGAATATGTACAGGATCGCCCCCGTCACTACATTAGATTTGATAGACCACAAATCCTCGCTAAAGAACACCAATTCCTTCTAAGGATGATTCTTTTTTTTTATAGGAGCGGGGGCAAACGAGCATGCGGCTCACCTGATGGTAAGTGACTACCGTCGCCCATGAACAACCGCAACACCAGGGGAATTAAAGATGCGTTGCCGGCCTTTTAAAAAGGAGTAGGCTCTTTTCTTGAAGGTCCCTAAGTCATATCGGTCCGGAAAAATCGCTGGTGGTAAACTATTCCACAAGGAAGTTGTGCGAGGAAGAAAACATCTTCTAAATCGCACAGTGGTGGATCATTAAGCATCCACATGGTGTGGATGGTATCGGAAGTTCTGCCGCGATGTGCGTTCGTGAAATTTGGCGGCTGGGATTAATCCGAACAATTCCTCAGAGCACTCCCCATGGTAAATGCGAAAGAAAATGCTAAGAGATGCAACATCTCTTCGCAGTGCCAATGAGTCGAGCCGATCGGAAAGGACTCGGTCGTCGACGATTCGAGCCGCTCTGCACTGCATGCGGTCAAGTGGAAGGAGCTGGCACTGGGGAGCTCCAGCCCAGAGATGGGAACAGTATTCCATGTGAGGCCGAACCTGCGCCTTGTAAAGTTGCAGGCGTTGAGCCGGCATGAAATACTGTCCCGCTCTGCTGAGCACGCCAAGCCTTTTAGAGGCCAATTTGGCCTTCTCTTCCAAGTGACCACGAAACTGCACGTTACTCGATATGTCGACGCCGAGGATTCCGATACTGGCTGAGGCAACAAGGGGAGTACCTTGAAACTGAGGAGATACGACAAAGGGGTTCTTTTTAGCGGTAAACGCGCAAACTTGTGTCTTCTGAGGATTAAACTGGACTAGATTTAGTCGCCCCCAATCCGAGACTTTGTCCAGCAAAGACTCGACTTCAGATACAAGTTTGTTCCGGTACTCGGTGACGTTTTCCCGAGAAATATTGGCACGGCCGGTGTATAGAGCATCACCAGTGCTGTCATCCGCATAGCAATGAATGCTACCGGCTTGCAACATATCATTGATATGCAGAAGAAACATCGTTGGTGATAGCACGCAGCCTTGTGGAACACCAGCGTTAATAGGCTTGTAGTCGGAGCATGCACCGTCTACAACGACCTTGATGCTCCGATCTGCAAGAAAGCTGGTGATCCAATTGCATAATTTCTCGGGAAGCCCATAGGAAGGGAGCTTCGAAAGAAGCGCTTTCTGCCAAACCCGATCGAAGGCCTTCGCAATGTCCAAAATAACGGATTCGTGAGACTATTGAAATCAAAAAACATCCTGATTTCAATAGAGAAGATGGCTGGGTGTTACCATCTGCTTGGGATCCCATAATCAATAAAATTAAATCCCAACCCAAGCATACAACTGCAAGACTTCAAAACACTAAGTTCATACTGCGTAAATCGGAACAAAAAATAATCATTTTTAATCTGGAGTTAGCCGAGGTTAACTGTGACATTGAGACGTCATACACCTCAGTCCCCCCGTGACCATGGGTGTGGTAAAGTACTCGAAACGTCGGGGACATAAAGTAAGTTAATATACGCAATAAAATCTTTAAAGAAAATATTTAAATGTGTATTGTTCTCGTAAATTAAGAAATCATTATAATTATTCAGTGTTATCCGTTTTTTTTTAAGATTATAAATATGAACACAAAAATTTAGACAATGATATTCTTAGATTTTGCAGAACTTTATGTATTTATTTTTTATATTTAGTAAATTTAACAAATATATAAATATAAATAAATAATTATTACTGTTTCACTTACTTTCATTACTAAATTAATGTGGTGCCCTATCCAAAAGCATATTTACATTCAGGTAATAATATAACCATTACACATATACACCATAGAATAGAATAGAATATGTTTTATTAAGTAGACCAATTATTTAAAACAAGTTTAAGAAAATTATAAAATTAAAATTACAGTAACAAAAATATTGTGCAGTTCGACTCCACTCTCCTTGTCCAAGCGACGAGCCTGGGTCGTAAAATTTTATGGCTTTTTATTCACACTGTAATTCTGACTTTAAGCAATGCGCGTAAGGTTGAATTTGTTTTATTATCGGTTGACCAGCGAGAATGTATATTTATTTCAACTAGAATTACGTTACAACATTTGGTGACAGTTTTTAAAGAACTTTTGTTTGGGATTGTGCATCTAGTTTTTTATTAGTGATCGATGTTTGAAGTGGATTTTCATATGTAAAAGTGGTGCGATTTTTTGTACGGTTGAACAAGTGCTCTGATGGTGATGTGATTCTCAAGATAAGTTGTATGTCTGCTTAGGCGCCTTTAGATACCATCGCCAACGTCAAAATCTCCCACGGGCTGCACAATGTGACGTATCAACATATTGTGAAGCAGTGTACTATGAAAGATAATTATACATTATAACTTCAGGCGCAGAAAGACTAGAACTCAGAGCCATAAAGCCAGTTATAAAAGAAAATGCCACTGCACTGGTGACTGGTGTCACAATTTGACAAAACCAAATAATTACTAGGGATGAGCACGGGAAAAAAATATATCGATATTATTCGAATCGATATTTATGAACAGTATCTATACAACATGTAACAAAAACCCTGTGGTTCCCGTTAAGTACGTTATCAGGATCAGTATTCAAACTCATAGAAATAACTTTTTTTTTTTAAAAACTCGACCATATTTTTTTAATTTTATGTGGTTTTATTACCTCTTACTGACACTAGCCGATGCTAAAACTAAGTAGAGCGGGGTCTTTGACAATCCTCTTACTCCCCAGACAATGCAGAGGTAATAAAACCACATACAATTTCCATACAATTATTTTTTTAATAAAATAAAAAAAATTGTTCAAGTTTTAAAAAAAAGTTATTTCTACACGTTTGAATAATGATCCTGATAACGTACTTAACGGGAACCACAGGGTTTTTGTTACATATTGTAGATGTCGCGTGATAAATATGCTGCTATAACCATGCTGCAGCTATGTTAGTAGTTGTAGCACGAATGGGTCGGCTCGACCGGGGAAGAACCACGCTCTCACAGAATACCAGCGTCAAATAGCTACTTAACACTGCTGTGCTTCGTATGGTGAGTGTAGAGAAACGGAGACCCTTTTTACTGGAAAAAACGCATTCCTTCTTCGTCCTCACGGGTGGCATCGCATCTGCATTTTGATTCGCAAACCAGGATAGATGTAGATGTCTATGGGCCACAGAAACCACTTACCATCAAACTATCCTATAAAAAAAAACTTTAGAATAAATATCGATATACCGCGATTTAAAATATTGACGATATATATCGATATTTTTTGTACAAGCCTAATAATTACATTTCATCAAATCAAGATCAACCGCAAATGTAAATAGGAATCATTAATCTATGTAATCATAAGCTATAGGGCCAAGACTACTATAGGGAGTATTTTTATTTACAAAGTAATCATTGAAAGAAGTACTAATAAAAACTAATAAACTCTTGGATTGTGACTTAACGAAAAATTGTAACTTAAATATGACTGTAAACAATACTATTGCGCATCAACGTTTAATTCTAAGCGGAGACCGTGAAAGGTAACAAAATAAGGCTTAATGTATGCAATAAAGTAGCAACAAATTTATTTTTAACTAGCTGATACCTGCGATTTCGTCCGCGTTGCTTACACACATCACTGAACTCGTAGTGCTTATAAAAATTGTTGTTCTGAAAACTTTATTAAGTAAATGGAATCTTAACAATTTTTTTAGAGAAGGGCCAAGTGTAAGAAATAAAACTTAGAAAACCTAATTGAAATCTATACAGTAGTTTTTCTGTGATGCGCGCACAACTGCAGACCTCTATCATTTTATTTATATAGATAATTAGAGGAATTATTAATATTTCGTGCAAACTGCTTTTAGGTACCCCTAACAAATTGATATATAATTCGGTTAAGCTCACCTAATTTATTGCCTTTTTCCAAAAACGATAACAATAATATTACTACCTGTCCTCAACAGATTTAAAGACTTATTGATGCGACGATTAATAGAATGCGGATGGAGAGATCAAGTGAGGATGTTGTGTCGTGAAGTGGTAAAAGAAAATGAAGGAAGTAACATAAATTTTGATACGCTTGTGACTAGAGTGACTCCTAGGGCCCGTGCACTTGTTCCAGACACTGTTAAGAAGGAATTGTTGCAAAAAATAAAGTCACATCTTCTAACACAAAAAGATCAATAAAATGGCCAACTATATGGAAAGTAATTTTAATTTAATTGCTTGATAAGCTGCTACTCAGGATTATTTCTCAGTTATATTTATCAACTCTATGTAATAAATGAAATTTTACAATCAACTGTATTATTTTATTTAATAAACATTTACATTTACAGTAACCAACAAATACATACATATTGCTTACATAGGCATAATACTGTCTTTAGATCCCATTTATCTGAATGTCATCACCATACTACAATTTTTAATTAGTTATTGAGTAATCTAATAAATATTAACCTTAATTAATTGAAGTTAACTATGGAAGATACTTTAAATATTATTAAAACTGTGTCTCCTTCATAGATTTAGTTGTTGAGTTATATAGCTGAAGTGATCATGCACATTTACATATATACTAATTATAATTTATGTGAATGAATATAATATCTCCTGCAAAAATGTTATATTGAACCTTATTAAAGTATTCAATACTATTGGAATAGGTAAATTTGATGAACATACATTTTTTAAAAACTACACATTATTCGAGTTTACTACCAAAATCAGGTTTTAAAAATAATCAAGAATCCATATACTACTTTAAAAGTTTAGCTTAGTTAAATCAAGCTTATATTTTAGTTACCTAGCTTTGAAGTAGCCTACAATGTGTCCACCATCCCTGTTTTTACTTTATTTAAAAGTACCTATGTGCATTAACTAAAATCTGAAAAACAACTATATTTTTGATTAAAATAATGACAATATACATAATCACTGAAACTAAAAATTCTGTACAGTGCATTCCTGCCTTATACAGGTTGTAATATGCACTTTAATAGTTGTTGTAATAGCCATTTATTTGGTGTTAAGTTAAATTTTAATTGGGATGTTTATACAAGTGACAGATAAAAGTTATCCATCCAATAAATTATAACCTGAATGAAAATAAAAGTAAAACAATAAAACTATTTTCGTCACAAAACTGTATTTAGTTACTAATTTTTTTTATATTGTATTTTATCTTTTAATCAGTGGACTCCAAAGTTAGATGTATTCAATTATAACACTTTTTTTGGATAATAGAAATCTATATAAATATATATGTTCCATGAAAGTAAAATAAAATTAATGATATATTTCCACAGGTGTTATATATTTGTAATTCAAATTTAATTGTCTTATTTCTTTAAATTTATGAAAGATACATCAATAAAATCAATCAATTGTCATCAATTTAAAAAGATTGGAAATACTCTTGTATTTCTATAAGACCTTACTATTTTTTTAAAATAATTATTTATAAGCACATTCCATTGACTTTATTAAGTTTGAGCAAGTAAATTATTCATATGTAGTTCATATAAATGGTCTTATAATTTTTGTTCTGTGTATTTTCTATAATATATAAATTGTAGACATTGTATACAACATACTTGTCCATTTATCATCAAACATGGTTAATAATATAATGACTTTCTAATTGTAGTTAGACAACATATTATCAGTAAATGTGATCAATACAGCATATCCCATAAAAATTATTATCAGAAAACAGAATAATTTTGAGAAATCTTGTTTTCAACACTAGTTCTCAAGAAAACCAATTAGTCTAGATATAAAAATAAATGAATTGGCCAATTTTCTAGATAGATAACAAATAAATGCATTTTAAATGTATATTGAGTTTCAAAAGAAATAATGAGCAATTGATTTTTTCTTAGTATAACATCTTTAAAGCTCTTTTATGCTTGACTTACACTATATGCTTATATTATGTATAAAGATATACAAGTGGAATGTATTATGGACTTAATTTTATTACTTTTGTGTAGTACTTTACATTTGATCACATAATGAAAGGTTTTTTTTACCTACAGCTCAGCATTAGTATTTGCTTATGTATTATAACTCGAAGTAAAAACTTAAGTCTATATGGAAAAAGAAATTTGTACACAGCACATTGAACAAATCATCATAACAATACTGTCGGTTTTTTTGAGCAATTAAGAGATGTTTGTCTTTCTTTTATGAAATATACCAGTGCATGACTTACATTTATAATTTTTCATTTTGTGCACTTGTAAGTGATTGGTCTCATACAGTGGTGGTATGGGAGAAACCATCAGCTCTATTCATTCCCTGAGTGTCGTAAGAGGCGACACAGGCAAATATTTTATGGTATTTTATAGATAACCATCTTGTATATTATCAGGTAAAAATTTCCAGTGCGAAAATGCTAAACGTTTGGTACCTATGATTGTTAATTCGCTTGCCAGGCTTTCCGATTCAATGTCAACAAATCCTATATTTCAAACGGTGGATTATTGATGCCTTGTGAAAGGGAAAGAGAAAAGTTGCAAATAAAGATTTTTATCAGTTTGATGAGCAAATACTTTCACTGTCTTTACAAAATAAAATCATTAGCAGCAAGTAAAACTTATTACATCATTTTTATATTTGAGATACTGCTTAAATTATTATTATGTTATTTAAATAGACAGATCTATCGAGATTATTTTTACTTATACTAAAAATTTATAAAAAAAATATTGATCATCCTAATTTATGTATATTTTTGTGTAAAATAATTTTATAACGTATCAAAAATAATAAACTCAATCAAGAATTATTATCTAAAAAAAAGCAATAGATATTAAAAATGCCATGGATAGAATAGCTTGGAGCGAAACCACACTATGCGTTGTGGGTAATATTATGTCGCAACAATGCAGTTTCACTGTGGCGGATTTTGCGTTAGCCCTAGATCTGACATTAGTTATTAAAATGATTACGTTAACGCGTAGCATTGCCAGCACCGCCCTGCGCAGTTTGACTTGCCTCCGATTTTATTGGAGGATGCAGCAAGGCACCGCTCAGGGACCACTGTGGCGTCGTAACGCAACGGAGCTTCGCAGTGGCAATGCAGCAACCACTAGAAGCGTTACATCTTGTCAACCTGCGACCGTGACGTAGACGTGCACCGTTCACGCGCCACAGCGCACTGTGCAGTCTCGCTCTTACATCAATCTAAGATCAACAAAAGTCACAACAGTTTAATGAGAAAGAGGTTCAACTGGTGTTGTTCTATCATCCCTGGTCAATAAAATCAACTTCTTGGAGGATGATACTATGAACCTTTCTTTAAAATTACTAGCATCAAAACATACATTATTATATCTAAACATTTTTACAATACGATAGATTGATCTTGTATATACTAGATAAATTAAAAAAAATAGATACAAAGGTACTGTCATTTGTTTTCATGTTTCTTACTTGCTAACTTATGACAGTTTCATAGTTATTACATTAATAACTAATGGGAACATAATTTAAAAAAAAATCTACTGTTACATGCTTATAAAGCTACAGATTACTCGAATTATTGCCTATTTACATTGAGTTATATGTACTACGTACTAGAGAAGCCATTCCGAACATTGACTATGTTCAACTGAACTGTACTGCAATCCGTACAAACTAAATATTGCGTATATTGAAGATTTGTGAATTCCATAAAATAATTATTATTACATTTTATTTAGAAATATAACATGTTTGTTTAGATGAAATTAAGATATTTTATATTAAATTCCTATATTTATTTTATATTAATATCTTATTTTATATCAAATTAAAATCTTCACGCATGCGCGGGAGTAGTAGTCGCAGACACAGAGTAGGACACAGTTTTTGTTTGAAATGGCTTCTCTAGTACGTAGTACATATAACTCAATGCCTATTTAGTTATAAGAAAGCTACACTCGAAAACCCCTATACAAGAAACCTAAGTCAAAAGCTGCACACTGCAACAATATAAAACAATAAATATAGTCCTATAAAAGAGATTCTTTGATATATCTATATCAATTCATGCATATTGCATTACTGCATATATAAATAAGATAGTTATGACAGAATCAATTATATGTAAATTAAAATTCATATAAATAACAAGGCATAATATAATTGTTTTCAACATTACATAATAAAATTTAGAAATAAACAACACAACAGTTTCAGCTACTATTGGCTATTCACAACCCGCGCGCAACGTTTACGCTCGATTTTCATTCCTTTGGCTTTTCGTTTTCAAAACAACATGGCATAGTTAACTATAAGATACAAACGCTTAAAATAATTGTTAGTTAACATTGTTGCAAAGGAATTGTTTTCCATTTTCAAAATAAACTTGCTTTGGCCTTAATACAATAATCAACATTTTCTATGTCTAGAGTACATTTTTTTAAAACGGATAATATGCGTTTATAATACATTTACATCATGAAACTAAACATAATATATAGTGTCGTGCTTAGGGACTGTAACCTAAAAGTTACGTAATATTTATATCTAGATAATATAAAAATATTGCACCAAAAAGCGATTCGGCAAATCCTTAAAGTAAATTTTACATTTGTGCGATTAAAAAAAACCATCAAATATTACCGTAATATTCTTTAAGAAAAAGATCTTTTAAAACTGAAAATTTGAACCATGGTAAATAAAGCTGCCTTAGTTATGGCATGGGCTCTCTTATGTCTAACTAATATTATGAATATTATATTGCTGAAAGCCGCCGTGTAGTTGTGGCGTAAAATAATCCACTACACAATATTGTATCATATTACACCGTTTTGTTTACTAATTCTTATTCTACCCGCAAATTCCGCACTTGGCTAATTGTGTAAAGATGACCTCCAGTTTTAGTTTGGATTTGCTATTGTCCGGATGTATATTTGAAACTGCCGAAGTAGAAGGCTTTAGGTCTTTATCATTACGTGAAAAATTATATCGCGATGAAGTCTGTGTCGAATTTAATGTGTAAAATTTATAACATTGAAAAACATCTTACAGCTGATACTTCCAAAAGACAAACTAAAATAACAGATTTTTTTGATTGATGCATTTTTGTATTGTTTATAAAAACGTACTTAATTGTTTTTGTTTAATAGCTTTTTGATTGTTAATAAAGATTATAACTCATGTACATGTGTATAATGTTTACAAAATACGTTATTTTATTTAATAATCGCACCTCTATAACTGAAATAACCTCTATTCTCACCTCTATTAATGGAATCCTCTGTAAATGAGACAGATATTTATTTATACCTGGATATCTGAGACACTGGGAAAGTGGAATACCTCTTTAAGTGAGACAAATTTGCAGGTCCTTTAAGGTCATCCAGGTTTCACTGTACTTATATTTAATAATTTCCATGGGTGTGTCGTAACAGGTGACAGAGGAAAATGGAACAGAATATGGGCAGAAGCATCTTCTTGATAACAACCAGAATAATATATAGCGTGACAACTATGGAAAACAAATATAGGGGATATTTGCCATAGTTGACACGCAAACTATGGGGACGGCCTATGTTCAGCATTATACTTTTGATAGATTACATGAAAAAGAACACAAGTATATTAAACTTAAGGAACATAAAGTATTTGTCCCTGTGATTGCTATCAACGTATTAGTTGGTAGTTATGGGCGACTATCGTTGATAATATATGGCCAATGTAATTCCGCCTAAAATATCTACATTTACATTTATTTATATAGCCTTTATTAACGGTTAAGTTTTATCGTTATTTTAAACATTGCACTAACACTCATCAATTTCGCATTTCAGACACCATACACATATGCAGTATAATCGCTGATATTTTAATTTCCTATTAGAATATTTCATAATAGTAACTGTTGTACCTAAATGATATGACATTTAGCGCTTAGTATTTTTGTTTTGGGCATGATTACAGTATACTTATATTGTTTTAGAGAGGTGTATTTAAAAAATACAGGTGAGCTAGGAGAGCGGACGTCGGGCGCGAGGTCGCTGCTGCGGCGCGCGCGAGACTTGCACAAGCGCAGAAGCGAGCGCCAGCCTTACGGGCGCTCGTGCTCCTCCCGGTAACCTGTATTTGTAGTAATGCAACATAATAAATAATAGTACTACAACAGAAGAATCACTCTCTGATAGCAAACTTGCGAATTTAAACCTAGTTATAACGTCGCCAATGTTCATAAATACTTTGCACGACTCGGGTACGACCTTCGTTAAAATAGCCTACCGATTGTTGTAGCGCGCGTATTAAATCAAAATACACCTTACGTCCGCGAGCGAGTTTGTATCACTTAGCCCGTTACGCGCCTTTGTTAAGACCGCTCCTAGTGTACGGTTAGGTGTTGTGAGAAAACAAATTGAATCCTTTACAAGTTTTGCAATTATTAAACATTTTATATTTATTAAAACTTCTCAATTATACACATGAAGCAAACATATTTTACGAATATATAAACTATAAAAGTAAAACATACAGACATAACCACAATACTTCTTATATTGTTCTTGATAAAAAATCGGACCAGTTTTGGAGGACACAGGGGAACACGAAAAAATGATTTTGTCTTTTTTTTTCACAGGTATAATCACTCCGAGTTGCAGTCACTCTTAGTTGTCTAGCTCGGTCGTTCCGGCACAGCGACAACAATAGATAATTAAAAACATATTATTCAAACTTTAATCCCTTATTATTGAATATATACATATATTTTGGTATTCCAAGTGTAACCGTAAAACAGGTAGTTACGAACACATACTTACTCGTTGTAACTTAATAACGCTGGTGCTCTAAAATTGGGAGGTAGGCTCAGGTAGGTTAGATGCACAACGATGGCTTTCAGGGGTATTAATCCAATCCAGATAAATACCTATTTATTTCAATATCGGGTCAGCTATGGATTTAAATCCAAAATCCGCAAAGTGAACTCTCATCACTAAACCATGTCGTCTATCTATAGTGTTAAAATTCTTGCTTATACATTATTGGACTTCTATGAAAGAAATAAACAAACAACTTAAAGTCAGTTGTAATAATAAAGTTTACAGCATATTATATAATGACTGCATCCTAGCTCACTTTCGATTTAAACGTTTTAAGCGATAAATTGGGCATAAATAAGTTAGGATGTTGAGTGCCTGTGTCAGCGCATACTTTTGGCACTATTATATTATCTCCAGCGCCATTGATGGCCTAAGTCACAAGTAAACAAGTTGGTTTGAAGTTGATTGCAGTCTTACCCGTCACAGTACAGTAGCCAATAACTGAACTAACCTTGTCATTCGAATATTATGAAAAACGCATCGGCGCTTTTTATTGATCAGCATTCGATTGTATATGGTCGGCAGTGGGCGTTTGCTTGAATTTGTGTCGCAAAAATTCTTTAAGTCCAGTTTTTATCTGACTACGAAAACCAAAAGGACCAACCTATTTATGTATATGTATGTTCACTCGTTCCCTCAGATCTCCTAAGCTTGTCGTTGTATTGACAAATGAGGTACCATTGGAAGCGTCGCGAACTCAAGACTCTTCAAAACATTTATGATGTCACATAAAATCTAATATAGTGGCTTATATATAATGCAACGGTCAAATTTTGGTGCGGATGAGACTTAAGCAGGTATTCAGAGACAATGTCTAAATTTGAGTCTAGGTGGTTTTCTTTTCTGTTTAAGAGTCCTTCTGGTCAAATAGCCATGCTTGCACTAGTGTGTCCCGGTCTGAAGGGCGATAGAGAGCCCGTGTAATTACAGACTGTGAGACATTTTGTCTTAGTCCTCAGATCGCATCATCTCATTCTTCTGGCAGAAGAAGCATGAGAGTAGAATAAATGCTGTAGAAATGCGGTCATTAAAGAGTATGCTAGGGCTGAATTTAATGACAGGGTGAGAAATAGTGTGATAAGAGACAAGTGTGGTTTGCAAGATGACGTTGTGACCAGGATTAAGAAAGGAATGCTTCGGTGGTTTGGTCACGTAGAAAGAATGAATGAGGAAAGAGTGACAAAGCAAATTTATGTTTCAGAAGTGAACGGGAAAGGACGCTCTAGACGAAGACCAAATCGGCGATACATTGAGAATGGGCCAGATTAGGAGTATCCTTAACCGATGAGCGTGTGTGCGTAGATATATGGATGTAAAGGAGGCGAGAGAGGTATGTCAGGATCGCGCCAAATGGAAGTCCGTAGTCTCTGCCTATCCCTCTGGGTGACAGGCGTGAGTGTTTGTGTTGTTTTTATCGCATCTGCAGCTTTCTTTGTTAAAAGTTACCATTAACCATCAGACGGTTTGATGTTTGTTTGTTATTTTGTTTGAACTCACGATGGTATATAATACGTATAAAATAAAAAATATAAAGGGCATTGACCTGACAAGTACGGAGGTGACGGCGGCTCGTCCGTCGGCGGTGGGCTCGATGGCGACGGGGCGCAGGTCGAGCGCGCGCCGGCGCCGCGCCCCGCCCGCCGCGCCCCCCACGCCCACCAGGACCGCCGCGCCCCCGCTCAACACCACACGCACTGTAGCGAACGGCCGCTTCGCCATGTGCAGCATCTGGCCGACACGCACACATTAACATATATCGCACAGATCAATCGTTCACAGAAACATCATCATCATCGTCATCATCATTACAACCTATCAGTCTACTGCTAAACACAAGCCTCCCCTTAGATTGCCTCATAAAGGCAAAATTTGGCGCATTAGATATTCTTCCGCCGCCACTACATGATACATTCACAATTCAAAATTCTGTTTCCTGACAATGTATCGTATCGCGTTTGCATTCATTATCAACATCACCATTACAGCCTATGCAAAGTACACTGCTGAGCATTGGGCTCCCCTATAGATTTTCTTATTGTAGACATATTTGTCATAAATGACACCCGAGTTTGGAAGCACCTGTCCATCTTCTGTTACATTTCATAAGGAATATTCTTACACTACACGGTCAAAGTGTTTGCTTGTTTGCAATGTTTGACATTTCATTGTACAAAACAGGTTTTAAAACAAGCCATACAATATGTTAAACTTAGAATTTAAAAATAAGAACTATCAAATGTTTTCAACGCAAACGCGCACAACACTTTTATTGGGATTTGCCGGATATCAGGGCTACAAGTAGCTCTTGAAACTACTCATATGTATAAATGATTACATTTATGGCAACAATTGTGTATATATTTTTTATTTACATAAATATGACATTTTTAAAAACTAAAAAACTATGCAGTGTAGTAACGGTGTAAGAATATCCACTACCCAATATCGTTCCGTAGGTGTCGTAAAAAATTACAGAAGGAAACAAGCCAGGAGATGGACAGCAGCGTTTACTCAAGAACAACTAGAAATGAAAACACTGGTTGCCAACCCGCCTCTCAAGCGTGCCAACAGTGGCAAATGACCTTTATGAGGCAAACCAAGTGGAGGCCTATGTTCAGTTCATAGTATGAGTTTAATTTATCATTAAAACTATGTGTCTAATTTATTTATGTAAAATATTTGAGCTACTGTAACTTATACTTTTTAAAATATGTATACGCACCTCCACCACATGTCTTCTCCTAGCTCTTCGGACGTCAGCGGCTTGTTTCGCCTTCCAAGCGACAACACATGCAGCGAGGAACAGGAAAAAGCATGAGAAAAACACCGAGAAGAAAACAAATAGGTCGATATGAAGCTGATCCTGACGGAAGAACGTAATACCGAAGCTGGCAGCGCCATCTTCTGCGTGACGTGCACGGATAATTATAAAGAATTTTGTATGGGACAGGTCATGAACCTTCTCCGGCAATGTCAGCACCAGTCGGTTGCGCAGGTTTCGTACGCGCAGCAATACATTTCTCTTATCTACTGTCACAAACGTAGCAAGATCTGTCGCCGTATAGTCTGCTAGAGAATACTCAGTTTTATCGTAGTACCAAGTGACATGCTGACTGTCCGGCACGGGATCGTCGAAGGATGGTATTTTGCGGATCTGATCGTGCTTGTAGTAAGTCGGATCCAACTCGACTGTATGAGTTCCGGCTGTTGAGTTTACTGATACTACAAACGAGCTGTCATTCGGACTCAAGTATAAGTCAACGGCACCTTGAGTGACGTCTACTATCACACGTATGTCGACGTTCATATATCTCGGGTTTACGGCTACGAAAACAGTTTGGCCAGGGTAAAGAGGACGCGGCTTGATTTTGCATTCATCTGAAAAAAAAAACGAATATTAAAACACATGAGATATTTTATAATAAAGAGTTTAGGAGCCTTCACTCACCGATAGACTTGCCATCGAAGCAGAGCTTGTTCTCGATGTTAATAGTCTTGTAGCACTGGTGTCCGTTTCGCGGGTCGCCCATGTAGAGGTCGCGGCACTTGACGCACTGGTAGCGCCAGCACTCCTGCGCAGTGTTCTTGCTGGAGCTGGTCGCCTGGCAGGACGCGTCGCTCTCCGTGTTGTTGCCGCAGTTGCACTTCTCGCCGGTCACCGGGTCGCATGTGTCGCCATGACCGTGGCATTCGCAACTGGTGCAAAACACGTGTTTCATTAAAACACTGATTTGTTTATTGCGCTTCTTTATATATTTATATTTTATAATTACAGATATGTTATGCATTGTGTGGTAATTAATTAAATATTTGTGGACTAACATTTTTAATAAGCTTTCTAAGAATGCAAGTAAATTCTTTTTTTTCTTTTCTTTAAAAACCGTTACTGCCTTCGCTACCCTCAAACTAGGATTTTCTCCTGTATGGTGGAGGCATTTTACATATATAATCCGGAATAATTATTTGTAGATCATGAAGAAGTCAAATATATTTATAGAATGTATGTCGTGTGGAAGTTGCTGGCCGTATGAGGACGCTCAAGACCACTCAGAGCTACGGGGAGGGCTATGTTCGGGGTTTATCTGCGTGATAGACTTCGAAATGAAGATATCTGCAGTAGAACCAGAGTAACCGATATAGTCCAATGAATTAGTAAGCTGAAGTAGCAAGTGGTCGGCCATATAACTCGAAGAACCGACAACCGATGGGGAAGAAAAGATTCTCGAGTAGCAACCTCATAACGGTAGGCGAAGTGCAGGGCGTCCCCTTACTAGATGGAGTGACGACATTTTAAGATATGCAGGAAGTCAATGGATGCAGATGGCTCGGGATCGTGCTTTGTGGCATTCCTTGCAGGGAGGCCTATGTTCAGCAGGAACTTTTGAAGGGCTATAATGATGATGATAATGATGAATGATGTTAATTTTCTAATTAGACTCACATTAATTGAATAAGTTAACATAAGTTTTACTTCTTATTTCTTAATTATTCTCTGAAAGTGACCTATGCGTTGCGTAAGTGGTTACTGTTTCTCTTACATAGCTAACTATAGCAAATTTAAACTGTCGTAACATTAGCAAAAAAAGTACTATATACTTACGGTCGACAAGGATCCCGGAAATCCTCTGAGCCTCTAAAGTAACCTTCAATGCATCGCTCACATCTCAGACCGTCAGTATTATTAGCGCATCGCACACACCGTGCCTTAGATCCGCCGTCCCTGTAGTATTCATCCGGATCTCCAGCAATATCACGTGGGATCAACGATACTTCCGACATATCATTTGTGCACACCGTCGTATGACCGTGGCAATACACGGAGCACGGTATACACAGCCCATTGTCAGTGGGATCGCCAACAAAGTTAGGCTTACAGATTTCACATTGGTTACCCTTAAAAAAATTGCAAGACGTGTTTTAAATATTATAGAGAAATTATGTTAAAACACTCATTTCATGCAATACAATTTGATATGTCCTTTTGCAAATTTCTATAAATTCTATGATTTTTATTAATGTTAAAATATTAGCTTTGGTCAAGTAAAAAATATTAAATTCGATTTAAATTTAAAATATTAAAATGTTCGCCGTCGAATCGCTGAAATATAACTTCGGATTTCAGCGAATCGACGTCATTCTGTGAAAAATTTGTGCCAGATAGAAAGGATGGAGTTAGGATATTCCTCATTTTAAGTACTTTGTCAGTTTAGTTACTATTATTTATGTTTCATTTTTACCATACTGAAAATGACTATTTGAATACACTCATTGATGTGGTATGTAATGTTATGTGGGTGATAATAATCACTTTGAATGTTTCAGATTTCTTAATAGTCTTGACAATATGCTTTAATTCAATGAAAGTATATGATCAAAATTAATAAATATAATGTAAACTGAATAAAATTACCATAGTATTGTTGTGACATTCGATGCACTTATCGAGTTTGTCGGGCCCCTCACAGTGCGAGTGTCCGTTGCACTGGCACTGTATGGTGCAGTTCGCGCCGACGTAGCCGAAGTCGCAGTGGCACACGTCGGGCTGCACGCACACGCCGCGCACGCAGCCCTGCGAGCACACGGCCGTGCAGCCGCCGCCCCCCGCACCACCCGCCCGCTTGTACCCCACCCCGCAAGCACATTCATATCCCTCGGATAGATCTACGCACACCTAAAATAGAAAGAAATGTTTCATTTATCGTCTGTGGTGTATAATTAAATAGCACGTTTGCAAATACCAATGTAAGACTGACAAACGAGCTAATAAATCACCTTATGTTAAGTAGCTTTAACCCTATGTACATATGCTGCACTAAAAGTATCGAGAATGGAATATTTCCACTGTTCCTGTCATATTAAAATCTTTTTAACTGAAAAGTCCTTGGTTTTTTAAAATTGAATACCATTTATTTATTTTAAAAAAGATTCTCAGTCTTTTCACAAGGTTTTGTCAATCTTGTTTAGTCGTTGAGATAATGGAATTGACTCGAGAAAATTCAAGAGCGATGATTTATTATGACTTTCGAAGTGGTTTAACACAAAAACAGTGTGTTGACCGGATGATTTCTGCCATCCAAAACCACAATTTATCGCTGGTTTGCTGAATTTCAACGTGGACGTGTCAAGCTCAAATGATCCCCGTTAAGGTCATCCAAAAACTGCAGTCACCCAAGAAAACGTTGATGCTGTGCGTAAGCTGATTGAGGAAGATCGACATGTGACATACCGCGAAATTCAGACTACTTTAGACATTGGCATGAGTCAAATACAAATAATCTTGCATGAACAATTAGGTGTAAAAAAGTTGTTTTCCCGATGGATACCGCATTCGCTCTGTGAAGAGCAAAAAGCGGCTCGCGTTACTTGGTGCGTCAGAACTCTCGAAAAATTCCACGCAGGATCCTCAAATGCTGTATACAACATCGTATCAGGTGACGAATCCTGGATATACGCGTACGAACCCGAAACAAAAAACCAGTCACGAGTTTGGGTGTTCGAAAATGAGTTAAAGCCAACAAAAATTGTTCGTTCACGGAGTGTTGCAAAAAAAATGGTGGCCACGTTTGTCTCCAAAACCGTCCATGTTACGACTATTCCTCTTGAGGGACAAAGAACGGTTAATGCAGAATGGTATGCTAGCATTTGTTTATCACAGGTCGTTTCTGAACTCCGTAAAGAGAACTGCAACCGCCGCATCATCCTTCATCACGACAATGCGAGTTCTCACACCGCACACAGAATAAAAGAGTTTTTAGAGCAAGAAAACATAGAATTATTAGACCATCCGCCGTACAGCCCCGACTTAAGCCCTAATGATTTCTATACTTTCCCTAAAATAAAGAATAAATTGCGTGGACAGAGATTTTCATCACCTGAAGAAGCTGTGGACGCCTACAAAACGGCCATTTTGGAGACCCCAACTTCCGAATGGAATGGTTGCTTCAATGATTGGTTCCATCGTATGGAGAAATGTGTCAAATTTCGCGGAGAATACTTCGAAAAGCAATAAATACATTTTTAAATAGTAATGTTGTGTCACTTCCTTGATTCCCGAAATTTTCAGTGCCGCCCTCGTATTAAGATGAAATGCCTTACGGCGGAACACAGCAATAAGTATTTCTGCTTGACGCCAGAAATAAGCATGAAGGTAATATCAACCACAACGAAATTCTAAGCAGTAAAGGAACCTTACCACTTTTTGAAGATAATTCAATTACGATATTATTTGATTACGAAAATAACGTTACTACCTGTTACTCCTGTGCGATAATAGACTTCCTCTTACAAATTCTCTCAGATTTGAGATTGATTTGTCTTTTTAACAAAAAGTGTGTAAAAAAGGCTTGTTTCCTTTGGTTGATTGATAAAAATTGCTACAGTTATAACTTTTTTCCTGTGTTTTGTATTGTCTTCATTAAATTTAAGTGTATGTAGAATTCTTTTTTAGTAACAATTATTTAAACCATCCATATTTATATGTTTCTTAGAAGTCAAGGCTAATATTATAAGCAAAGCAAGTTTTTTTTAATATCTATAAAGTTTGTTGTCACTAACATGTTTTCGCTCGAACTGATGCATGAATCGTTAGTGTTGAGTAACTGTGTAATGCGTTGCGTCGCTTCATCAGTCTAGCATCAGTCTGTTTGTAATAAAGGGCATGGACTGTACTGATACCAGAAAGAGCATGTAACTTATACCTTGATATTTCGAACAATAAACTTAATTGCTATAAGATGTTTGGAAACTCATTATTATTTTAAAAGGCGTGATTACTCTTAAAATTTTATCTAATTCGATCAAGAACTTTAGAAATTATGATGCCATGACGCATAAAGCCTCACTGAACGAAACTCTAAGTAGTGTTTGGATAACAACAAAACTCCAAAAATCAGAAAAATATTTTCAATATAATTAATATAAAAAGATAATGATAAAATATATTTACCTCAGACTCCGCTTTACATTGATGATGATCATTGTCACATTCATTCTCGGGCGGGCAACGAGTGTAGTGCCATGAAAATGTTTCGTTGGTATTATTAGATTCATGAACGATGGAGTATACGGCATCGCAAGTAGTACGAGTCGAGTAATCAAGCGGAGAATCAATCGAGCCTTCAGAACAAACGCCTTCGCCGTTAGCGCCCTCTATCGCACACCAACCGCAATGCGAATGGCGCAGACACTCCGAACACTGTTCAAAAGTATCGCAAGGAGCGGGACATTTATTTTTATCTGCTTTGGTTAACACCAGTCCGCAGACACCACCAGCACAATAGACAGGTTGATATGCAGGTGAAATACAAATTCCAAGATATGATGCCCAGTGACATTCGGAAAAACCACCTTCGGCTCCGTCGGAGCTAAGACACGATTGGCAATCAGTAAATTGATTACAACGACTCGGGCACTCCTCTTTGGTTCTCGGCCTAAGACTTGCTCGACCAGGCTCGTCAATTAAAGCACATGTCCAGTTGAAAAGTTCTGATGAATCTTCTGAGATTTTTGTCGATTGACCTATAATAAAATAAAAATGGATTAAAACAGTTCGTCTTTAAACATTTTTTTATAATATTAGTGACAACCAAGCTATCATCGAAACTAACTCCAATGAGCTATCATTTGGAGAAATACAATCTGCAATGGCTAATCGCTAATATTTTCTGGTTAGAGGCGAAACAAGTGTCGTATTATCGACGGTGGTGTGTATTTCCTAGTGAAGTAGAGTTAGGATTAGTGACAGCAGTGATAGTGTCCGCTTTTTCTAACTTTTTTAAAGTATAGTTTTTTAGATTTTTGCTATATACTTTATAATTTATTTCTTTTTTTTATTTCCAAACAGTAGCTTAATATTTTTAATTATTTTTTTAAACCTGTATTAAAGTCATAAAGTGGGCTAAAATGTTTTAAGAGACCTTTGTCAAGCATAAAAAAGTGTTGATAAACTCATAAATTTAAATTTGAAATTCTAGATGACATGTCTATTGTTTACATTAACCAAATACAAACCGAACATAAAAAAATCGATGTTACAGTGAAAACATGTGAAGCACCCGTGGTCATACAATTTTGTTTGTCATACGCGACTAACACGCACACAAAGCACACAAATATATCAATGTTCGACAATCGACACCAGTTCTAATGACCACAGAGTATTTTATACAAATAAAGTAGTTTATACATATAAAGTATGGCACCGATTCTTAGACCTTGATGTATTTGTATGCGTTTGTAGGTGCTTCACACACTTTCAGTGTAACATAACGTCCGTATTTTTATTAGGCAAGAGTTAGTCTAAAACAAATTACAAATAAAGCGAAGTAAGAAATAAAAATAAAATTATAATCGTGTTTATAAACAAACGTTAACTTTTGACAACTTAAATCACTTGGTCTCACTTCATTAAGCCCACTTCATGACATAATGTGGAAGTAAAATAAAGGTCAAATTCATACTTTTTTTGATAAAATGAATGCCATTGCTTATTTTTAAGACCTCTAAATAGCAAAATAGGCTTTATGGAAGAAATAAACTTGAAATGGTTTCAAAATTAGTATGGCTTTATAAGCCACTTCTTTATATACCTATCGAATTGTAGGAAGTCTCTTTAAACTATTAGGTAGGTTAAAGAGGCTTTCTACTTACACACCATTTTATTTTTCACTTATTTTACACACCATTTTATTTTTCACTTTTCACAGATTTTTCTTTACCGCCTAGAAATAGAAATGTAGTAACCTCTAAAAAAAATCTTAAAGCATTAACAAATGTAATTTCTAACCTTACCTGATCTACTTGCATATCGAGTCCAAGTGCATTGGTTTGACACGCATTTGTCACAATCTGACGCTAGGCATCTTAGCTCAGGGCATTGGTCCATGTCACTGATGTACGTAGTTCCAGCGTTACATTTGATACTAGTGCACGACTCATCCGTCGGTACACATTCACCTGGAGCATAAATACGTTGACAATACAACCAAAACCTTAAAAGTAACAATGGCGTAGGAAGTTATACTTACCAACAGCTGCTGCACATGATTCGCACCATCGACAGGATGGTTTTTCTTCAGGGTATAGCGGCCAAGCGGCTAGACATGATGTACATGAAGTGAAATTTTCGCACGGTCGACGCGAAATCAGTTCAGAATCGCAGGCTGCCCCAGAATTTGTAGAAACCCTATCGCTGCTTTCACATCCAGGTTTATCAACAGAGTAGCATTTGGTATAGTTACTTGTGCTGCAAAAGCTGCAGCCCATGTGACTTCGGCAATCCATCTTGTTCGAGCTCCACAACGAACAAAGATCTTCGGGTAGGGATATACGAGTCACTTGACAATTCGCACTACCGGTCCAACCACCGATTATGTAAATATAGCCTTCGTTTTCTGTTTCAACATCAATTGCCATTGCATGCGCTATGGTACGCGGAGGTGGATGGTCCACAATACTCACTCCTGTAAAAACTTTATTAAATAGGCAATTCTATAAAATACAATAAAGTAATAAATAATTATAATAAATAACAAACCTTTTACAAGTCTGACCCATTGATTACAACTATAGATGTAGACTATAAGCGCATTGGATCTATTTTCTGGATCAGTTCTTCCTCCAAACACAATCATGTAGTCATTTGTGGTGACGGCAGAATGTAAATATGTTGCAAGAGGTAAACTATCGACAGAGTTATGTACATTTAAGAAGCTGGGCAATATACTCCAAGCTTTAGTGGGATAATGGAAAGAGAATAGTTTATTAGAGATCATAGTCCCATTGTAGACATGTAATATACCACCAAAAACATATAGACTTTGTGAAGGTGCGTGGTAAACTGTGCTGTGACCAATAATACCCGATGGCATTGAACCCGAACAATGCAATTTAATCCACTTTTCATTATCAAGATCGAATTCCCACATTTCAGACATGAAACCTCCTTTCATTGAAAAACCACCAATTAAAACTAGACTTTCGTAGTCTTGATATTTTTGTAACGTCAATGTATGACCAGCAAGAGCGGGTGGACTTTCTTCTTTACTTTTTATGTTACTCCACCTATGATCTTTCAAACTAAATTGCCAAAAATCGTCAAGGGTTTTATTTTTTACACTTTTTTCTTGTAAACTTAGGCCTCCATAGATGTAAATATTCTGTTTAGAGTGATATATCTCTGCTGCATGAAAGTAACGTCCTTCTGGCATTTTAGCGTCGGGTGTAGCTTCTACAGTCACTTGCATCCAGGTATTATTTTTAGTATCAAAAAATCTAATATCGTTCAACGGTCCATGTGATAGTGAATATCCACCAAACATCCATAAGCCTCGTCTATCAGAAACTAAACTGTGCCCGAATCTGGGCAATGTTTTTCTAAGATGATCTAATCCGTCAGACAGGTATTCAGAATTAAACAGTTCAGTGAAAACAAGTTGAGTCTTATCAAGTTTTGCTGAACAGTCGTCTCCCCCATAACCCTCATTACAAAGACATCGTCCGTAATTAATATCGCAAACGCCAGCCTTAATGCTTACGCTGCAATTGTTTCGACATATTTCGACGTCGCAGTTGGGACCTCCATATCCCTCACGGCAAACGCAATGTCTCTTGTTACACACTCTGGGCCAGGAACAGTAATCATCACAAGCTAGCACCTTGTAGACGCCTTCAAAGCCTTGCTCTTGTTGACCTTGTTTGTAATGAACAGTCAAATTTCCGCTACGAGCTTCAACAACTCCCGACGAAGCTCCATTACAAAATACACCTAATAGTTGGCTTTGTTGAGTGTTACTCAAATCAGGTACACCTCCGAGACCGTCATAAACATAAACAGCATTTTCATCGCATGGCACGTCAAAATGAGAGGAATTTATACTAAATTGAATTGTAGCGTCTTTTATGTTATTGGCTGATATAATCCATAGACATTCTTTTGATGGTCCTAATGTTTTAATGTCTGGATCTGTCAAAAAGGAACCGATACCTTCGGTCTGTGTTGCATTTAACATACCTCGCGGCTCACACTGATAATAGCATCTACCGCCATGTCGAGGATCTCCGTAAAATTTGGGTTTGCAGCGCTCGCAATTTTGTCCTTCCGTATTGTCTTTGCAAATACATTCACCAGTTGCCGAGTCACAGACGCCTCGTGATTCATCGCCGTGATCGTTACAATCGCATCTACGACAACCTTGGCCTGTTGTCGCGTTACCATGACTACCCGGTTTACAATACTCACAAAATTCACCCTCTGTCCAATCTTGACATTCGTCACAGCGGCCAACACCTGTTTTACACGTTGAATGATTGTGACATCCACAGTTAATGGAACAATCTGCGCCCGTCCATCCCAAATCACAGTGGCATTTATATTGAGGAGCGCCGAGACAATAACCATGAATACAATTGTTGTAACAAGTTCGCATGCAGCTTTTTTTACCGTCTCCTATGTAACCCTGTTTACATTTACAAGTATATGAGCCGTGTGTATTGTTGCAGATGGCGTTTTCATGACAGTCGTGAAGGCCAAGACCGCACTCGTCAACATCAGGACACTGCGCGTATGCCCACCCTGCATCAGTCGAAGTAACATTCAAAAGAGAAGCGCAATCTACATGTGATCGAGTAAAATCACCTTCTGTACAGACACCGTTAATAGGGTTTTCAAAGGAATGGCACCAGCCACATCCCATACTACGTAAACAAGTTGAGCATTGTGTATGAGCTTGACAGGATTTGCACTGGCCAGATTTACGAGTTGTATCATCTGCTGGCGGAGCCGAGGCTCTATCAAGCCACTCCCGGCACAAGCCGAATTGATATTCGCTAGTATATACACTAAAACTAAAGCACTGGCGGGTCGCTTCGCACCAGACGCAACGCCCACGTTCATCAAGGCAATGTTCACAGTCGAGCCGCATACGGCAGGGCGCTGGACATTCACTTGCATCTACTATAGCTCCACTAGCTCGCCCTCTTCGCGCACACCGTGCCTCGTCTGCCCACCATTCGCAGTAATTTCCAGACACGCAACGCTCGCAACTTATATAATTAGAGCAGTTAGGACAAGCGGCCGGTTGTAAAGTAAGGTATCTCCACTCGCCGTCTGCAAAGCAGGTGGTTTTTTCGTCGATGTTCCTCGCCTCACAGCGATTCGTTACTTCGCACCAACCACAAGCAGCGTCTGACAGACACAGCAGACAGTTGTCGTAATTAGCACACTGTCCGTCGGAGTAAGGTTCTAGGAATTCAAACGTGAATACCTGGAACAAGTTACTATGGTTATGATCTATGTCACCTTCTTCTTCATCATCGCCCGCTCAGAAGGGCTAGAACCCAGAGCCGTAAAGCCAGTTTTAAAAAAAAATCATCATCGCCAACAAAAGTCCACGGATGGACATGAATCTCTCTTGTTGTAGGGAGGATTTGGCTTAATTGTCACACTTGACAGACAGGTGTTTTTACTATATTTAATCTTAATTATAAATTCTCGTTTTTTTTTTTCCAAATTTCTACAAAAAGGATGTAAAGTAGAAAGGAAGCAAAGTATAATCTAATTACTAAACAAATTAATTATTAGTGTAATGTATAAATTCATCCATCATCCATTACAGCTTATTAAAGTATGTTCCCCTATAGATTGGCTCATAGGGGGTTTTTGCCATAATTGCCACGCTTGACACCTGCCTGTCAAGCGTGGCAATTTGGCGACCGCTTTTTTTAAATTATTTTGAGTTGTTATTAGCAAGATGGTGCTACCCATCTCCTGTTTCAGTTTCCCTCCTCTTACGACACCCACAGCACGATATGGGGTAGTGGATATGCTTACACTGCCACTACATGGTAAAAGGAACAATATAATATAATAAATTATATAGTTTGTACATAATTAAACCACTTATTGGTTTAATTATGTACAAACTATTAACAAAATAGTTTTCATATTTTAAGATCTAAATAAATTTTTTTTATGTAAAATTAATTATCCTTAACCAGATTATATCTGTTTTGCCAAAAGGGATAAAATTAAACAGTAAAACAAATAGCAAACCATGCTACATTTGCAAAGAAAGTAAACTAAAAACGCTGTGTTTGCACGTATACTCAGCTTCATATACTTATACGTTCTTACTTACTTGGTGTCTGATGTAATGTTTAATCAAAAAACTGTGTATGTCGTAAGAAGTACGAAAGACTAATCGTTTTTACTATCCTACAATTATTAGCTCCCGCTAGAACATTAGAAAACCTCGAAAATTTAGCGAAATTATACGAACATACGTCAATCAGGTAGATCAAACATAGCGCTCGTCAAATATACCCAGCCACTAATATCAAAAGCTGATATGGAAGCATATTTGAAACGATAACTGTTACCCATCGTATTGTTACATTGTATATACAAGTGTTATTAATAATTAATATAAAATTGATATACCTTAGCATTTTCCTGAGATTTATTATGAAGAAGTTCCATTTTTGAATGATGATGGGACGGATACAAGCCCGTATGTAAGGAATCATTTGCGTGCATATCGACTGACAGCCGACCAGGAAATAAGGTTGGCCAATCAACGAGTGAACAAGCGGAAGGCTGCGCTGTCAAGTTTGCGACCGAAATAGGGTTGCCGCCAAGATGGAGAGAGATATTTGAGTGTCCTGCGCAAACATGTAGAGTTTCACCTGTTCCATTCCAATATTGTGGTATGTGCAACCAGCCTCGCAACCTTGCTTCACTCGACCCAATGAAAATGTGATTACTACCTCCTCCCGCACCCCAATCTACAGTAGTTGCATTAACCACAGATACTCCATCTGGGTGATTCCAATCGGCCGGCTGTTGGTATCTCAAGAAAGTAAGGCCTGGTCTTTTATCTAAAATTTTGCACTCTTCGGGCGATGTCACTTCAGTGCCCGTCGTTCCCCACCACCCAGGATTTTCAGACGGCGTATCCTCTCCACACACCCCATAGTTATCTGAAATATAATAGTTATTACTGTTGATAAAATAATTTGGAACATTGCTTACATTTTCAAGGGTCATAAATATTTTTTGACATTTGATTCACACAAAATATGAAAATATGTTTGCATAAATTCCACCCAAAATATTTTAGTTGAATTTTACGCAAACATAACACACAGCACAATTATTGATTGTTTAATTTTTTTTTAATTATTTGTAGTCATTGAAAAGTAATATTTATTTTCATTTACTGTTTTATGACATTCCTTGGGGTTCAGTAATGATGATAATGATAATGTACTTATGTAAATAAAATACGATTGTTATTTTGGTATCGCAAAAATATTGATAAATTTAGCCAAATATGTACCATCTCGGCCGAGTTATAAATAACATAGAAAACATTAAAAAAATTATATACCATCTTTGTGATGACATCTTGCATTTTGAACACACCAACTGCACTGGTAAATGCCCAACTTAGTGCTCACAGAAGGTAGTGGTTTACGAGTGCTGTTTATTTTCTCTAAAGGAGGACCATGGATTAGACAAGAATGGCAATCACCAAGAGCAGGACAGATTCCACCACATCGAATAGATTGTAAGTTTGTTGTGCAATTAGATCCAATCGTTCTGCCATAACAAATCTGCAAATACCCAAAACAATTGAAATTAAAATGCAATCTCTAGACTTATTCATAATTTTATCGAACCTCACATCATATAATATAAAAGAAAGATCTCTTATGCTTTGTCATAAATCGTGGGCATTTTCGTAAATTTTCATCATCGACGCGCATAGTTTTTTTCTCAAACAGCATCCGTTATCAACGCCGTTGTTTTCAGTAATGGTGCCGAGGGTGCTGAGCCGACATCCAGCTAGCGTAAGTGTGTGACATATGGTTACCATTTTCGTTTTTATAATGGTGTTACGTTGAACTACAGTGGTAACACATTGAATTATATTTAACTAACTTAACTTTCAAATAAATTTGTCGGTGCGATACGCGCGCTACCTACTGTTAGTTGATTGTATTATGCCTATAAACTTCGCGCAAGTGTAAGCAATAAGTTGACAAAGTTTTACCGCATTCTGATGAATGGTATGGCAGCGCATTAAATACGAACAAACATTAATTTTTATATATTAGATTGTAAAAATTATGCTAATAGAAAATATATCTACTTTTATCGTTTGTTGTTTTCTCGCCCACAATAGTTAGCTATCGAGTCCAAAGAGTATATTATAATCACTATGTTTAATCGAGTCATTACGTGCGTTGACGCTATTACGCCATATCCGTATTACTGTCGTGGCTTGTGTGAAGTGACGCACAGTTGACGACAGACATGTTGGCAAAATTAGCAAAGCTAAACCTAGAGATCCATCCTCATTCACTATATTCTCTCTCCAGACCTTGACTAAACATACTTTCACTTTTCTAAGTTTAGACATCTTTTCATAGACAAAAACTTCGGTTCCTAAGAAGCAGTAAATAAATGCTTTAAATATTTCATCTAGTCTTTTATAGCAAAAGCATGAAACAAACTGAAAAATTTCTTATTAACCCATACAAATAAAATAAAGTAGGTATATAAATTAGGTACAGACCTAATAATAACTTATTATTAAATTAAAAGAACAACTTACATCATCAGCCGAACACCAGCCACATTCTGGATCGGCGAGACATTCCGGCTGGGTGCGATGTTTTGGACACGCCGATTCGGGATCTTTATTAGTAATACCTGCATGCCAACTGGGAACCACGTAAGCTAATAGGTCACCTGAAAACTTTAATAATAGTGTAAAAGTTTTAAAAACAATTCAATTTACTCTTTGCTAAAAAGAACACTCACCATTAACATTTCCGTGATATCCACCAACTATCAATAAAGTAGATGGTGGTCTCAATGCTGCTGCGTGAGCAAACACTCCTTGTTTCTTGGGATATAATTTGCGAGCTTTGCCCAGAACATCTAAAGGAATCCATGAGTGACAACCAAGATGATAAAGGTACATTTGGCCATCATAACATATTTCTTCTCTGTTATGTCGATGCGAGTAGCCACCAAATACAACTAAATAATTTCCTGTAACAAGAGAATGAAATAAATGACTGTTTTCAATCAAGTAACGAAATAGAATTTAACTCACATACCAATAACAGTTGATGTGTGAAAAGCTCTTTCTCTAGGAACATAGGTATCACGTAGGTGCGCCCTGGGGTAATGTATTTCACTCCAATGTTTGTAGTCCAAATCAAATGCAAACATTCGATCAGACAATTTTGAAAACCTGAAATTGCCTAACATATTATATTTTTCTACTCATATTAATTTAATCTGACTATTCATGGGTAATGATGACATAAGTACCGCAAAATATGAACATACCTTGCAACACTAGCAACCACACCCCCGTACACCAAAATAGAGTTAGAATGAGAATGATAAACTGCAGTGTGTGCCACAACACGCACATCTAACTCTTTGCCGCCACGTACTTGCACTTTTTCCCACGACTCTATATTTATTTCACCTAGTTTGATCTTGTACAAACTGAAATAATTGACGTAAAATTTAAAATTGAGCAGATACCTATGAAATAAATATGATGTAAGCATATACAAATTTTATTTGCAATTACCTTGAAGAAAACTCTCCATCTACTGTGCTGCCACCAAATAAATACAATTCATCATTTACAGATGTCAATGTGTGTCGAGTTAGTCCAGGTGGAGTGAATGTCGAGTTTACAGCTCTTAAGGTCCAGGTGTTATAAACGGCGTCATAAAACCATAGTTCTGAGGATAAGCTTCCATCAGATAACTTCCCACCATATAGGATAAATCCAGTACCAAATGCACATGCTGAATGACCATATCTTGGTTCAGGTTTGGAGTTGTTGGACTTAATGATAGGTGAAAAAAATTCAGGTCTGTCAGTAAATTGCAAATAGCTTTCGGAATAAGGCGTAGGAGTATACATAAGAGGTAATGTGGTTTTGTCATGGTGTGAAAACGATGCTAAAAGTAAATTAAATAATGAACTTCTATTTCCTATCTGCCAACTGCCATCAATATTGCCCTGTGCATAAGATAATAATATAATAATTGAAATGGGATATATTTTAAATTTTATACTTAATGATCATATTCTTAATACTCACTTTAGTAAATAAAGTCAACAAAGATTTATCATTTTCCTCTGTCGTTGGATATCGTTTTAAAACCTTACCATCTTCATCATACCACTGACTAGTAGAAAATCTAGAAAAAAAAATATACAAAAATTTTTAAAGACAATACAAATTACTATACAACATGCACTTATAAACTTTCTTAGTGAGACTTACTTATAAATTTCCAGTAAACCTAAAACTCTATTCAGATCATATCCTCCAAAAACATACAGAGAGTCAGTATGGTTAACATAGACAGATGTGTGAGCAGCTCTCTTAGTCATCCCACTTTCTGTGTGGGAAAGCCAATGCCAGCTGTTGCCTTCAACATCATTCTTTTTCAAGGAACAGGCTTCTCCAGAATAACTAAAAGTGTAAACCAAATATAATTCATGTGGTGTATCACTGGCATCACTAAGATAGATAAAGGATGTAGCAATACATAGTTAGATATTGATGCTGATAATAAAAAATCATTTCATTTATTATCATTATAGCCTATCAAAAGTCCACTGCTGAATTGATTGTCGCATAGGGGGTATAATGCCCAAAGTTGTCAGCCAGTTGTTGTTACAACAGTCAATAAACTGCAGAGAGAATAATAAATAATATAAACTAATAATAATATTGACCAAGTTTTGGTATTATCAATATATTGTAAAGTTACAGTGAGAGGGGTTGAATATATTGGCTAATAATTATATTGCTATTGTTACGTCCCTAGTTTTCAAGTGTTATGTTGATACATTGTCATAGAAAAGCAATAGACCAGAACAATTAATCAGGTTTTTGATAAAAACTTGTCCAAACAATTGTAGTTCCATACATGGTAGAGCCTAACTGCAATATATCATAGTTGTAGCATGAATGGGTCGGCTCTACTGGGGAAGGACCACTCTCTCACAGAATACCAGCATAAAAAAACACGAGTTTAATGGTACTGTTTCATATGATGAGTGTTGCAAACCGGAGACCCTTTCTACTGGAAACAATCTTTTTATTTTATTTTAGTCCTCAGGGGTGATAGCATATCTACATTTAGAATCTTAATGGAAGATAGATGTAGATGTCTATAGGTCACAGCATCCAATTACCATCAGCTCGACTGTGTGATTGTTGGTCAACCTTATTCTATATGCTATAAAAAAAAATTAAAATAGTTTTTAAGAGCACAGTTCAGCTTATGTAACTGATATGGCTAGGTTTATTTTTATTAGTGACCGACCGAAGATTCGGTTTCGGTTTCGGTTTTGGCAATAATCTGCCGAACTTTCGGCAGCGCCGAAACCAAAGTGTTTGTGGATTATCGTGCGTCGTTCAGATGAGTTCGTGACTCGTGTATTACTCATAATTATATTATGTTAATGCTCTTATTGAATAATATATTAGTTTTAACAATATTGTGAACGCAATAAAATATGTTCTCAATTAGCGAGTAACTTTTTATAGGTGTAAGTGTGGATTTCTTTACAAAACTTACTTAAAAGTATTTCTTAACATTAAATTGTTGATTTTTACTTTAAAATAAATAAATATATTGCTACATGATTGTCATATTTATTTATTTTAGTATTGTTATTACAATTAATATTTTTCATTAACATGCATTACCTATAGTATATGTATAAAAAATATAACAGATTACAGTTTATAATAAAAGAAAATAACATGCCTAAATGAGTTTCGATTTCGGCCAAAACTGACACCCAAACCAAAGGTTCATTTTCGGTTTTGGTTGAAAATCCGATTTAGGTCGGACATTATTTTTTTTACCAAACCTTATCATAAAAGATTCAATTGCCAATATGATATGTCATTTGTGCCAACAAAATATAACAGATTCAACAAAATATAGCAGACATCAATGAATTTATGCTGGTAGCTTTCATCAAGCTCATATAATACCCACTTTCACTTAGTAATTTACACCACTACTAACAGTGAGATTCTATAAAATTTAATCTATTTTAATTTTAATTATTTCTTATTTAAAATCTTTATTGCACTTAAACTGTACAATTGGTGGACTTACTTACTTCTTACTCTTACTTCGTCAACCATGAGCTAAGCAGAGAAACTTAAGCAAGTGCCATAAAAATATGAGAATATCTATATGTGAATGTAAATATAAAAATATATATACCATACGTGTAAATACTTAAAATAAATATATATAACTTTATATACAACTACAAATGACCTAAATAATAAACTCTATCCCTTATATATAACATACATAATTTTTAAATAATACATACATTTTAAGCGTACCTACATATGAACATATTACACAAAAACAACTTAAATTATTTATAATAACAAGTCACACATAAGCAGAAACATTTAAATAAGAAAGTTAGTTGCAAGAAGAAAGGTAGTGATTAGTCACCATTCTTTAAATGCTGCAATAGAAGTCAGTTTCCTGATGTGGAGGTAATTAATTCCATACATATCAGATGTCGAAAGACTGAGACATAAATTTGGTACGGCGAGGTAGCACACATAAGGTAGTTCCCTTGGAGGATCGCAGTTTACGATTGTGAGAAGAACCCAAATACTGAAACTTGAATTTCAGGTATTGCAATCATATAGGATTGGAAATAGTATGCGAAGAATTCTGATGCATCTACGCTGATGGATAGGGAGCCATTTAAGCTTAGAAAGATATAAGGATATGCAATGACTTTACTCAATTCATTATTAAAGGTCCATATAAACAACATAATATAGAAGGTATAAAATAGCTAATCAATTCTAAACAGGGCACATGCATATAAAAATACACTGATAATGTAAACACTATTAAAAATATAGAAGGAATGAAATAACACATACCCCTTTTTGCATTGACATCCATTTCCTTTACACTGTCCATTACCTGAACATCCATTAGGACAAAGTTCTACACTACAGTCCGGGCCACCCCAAACACCTACCACACAAAAACATTTATGTGACACACAAAGGCCTCGTCCTGTACAATTGTTTGGGCAATCGTGTATAGCATATGTTGCACGAAACCCATCTAGTACATAATTTGTATCACTGTACAACAGTATAAGCATCTGCAAAAAAGTAAAAGATGACAAAGTGATAATTATGTAAAAGTACAAAAATACAAGAATAATGTATACAAATATTTAATTACATATCCACTAGAAGCAGTAACATTTTGAGGTTCAGTTTTTCCACTGAAGCTTCCTAAGAGAGGAGCGTCAAATGAATCACCGTCATATACAAATACATAGTCATAAGAACATTCTGTTCCCATACGAATGAAGCTCAGTGTTATATATTGACTCTTATTTCCTGCCTTTATAAGCCATTCGCAATGTGAATCCTAAAACAAGAAGTTTAAGTAATTATTTTCTCTACTAATTGTGAAGATACTTAATACCATCACAAACTGACTTGTGTGTAATTAGAGTTTGTAGGGCCGTCGGTAATAACCCCGCTGGGGTCGGTGAACACCTTGCGTGTTTTGTCGCAAGGTGCTGAAGAAGCGGCGCACCACACGGCTAGGTAAACCCAGGTAACCACTACTAAACTTGCACTTTCCTCCCCAATACGTAGATAAAACATGCCTCTTCCAAATTGTCACACAACATAAGTCAAACATCAGAGCCATATAATCGTGAAATTACGAATAATATCACTAAAATGTAAAATAAACAACACTCATTTAGATGTCATCTACTTCAAGGCTAACAACTTTATATGGTGATTTGCTAAGTCCCTACTCTTAAAATCTTTTAAAATGATCGTAAAAAGGTATTGTTTCCTTACGAAATAAATTTCAATTAATACTTATATTGAGCTAAACAATACTTTCTAACAAGTTTTTCTTACAAACAAACAAATCACAGTAGTACACCTATCACTGAATTTTGACATTTGGAGAATAATTATTTTTAATCTGTATTTGTTTCTAAGCAACGGTATAGAATAAAAATATTAATTTGTAATATTATCTTAATAAATACCTACAAATAAATTAAAAATGGAGTTTTGGCGGGAAATTGACCGGCGGCGGTTTGCTGCTCCTGTATTATTGTTTAAATAATGGTTTGAAGTGGACTTTGATATGTAAAAGTGTTGCGATTTTGTGTATTAAGTGTCTACGCATGTGAACTATTAGTGGAAACAGTGAAACAAGTGCTCTGATGGTGATGGATTCTCAAGATAAGCTGTTTGTTTGCATAGGCACCTTTAGATACCATCGCCAACTATCAGCTGTCTGCTGGATCAAGTTGCCGCCAAAATCTCCCAAGAACTGCACAATGTGACGCATCAACATATTGTGAAGCAGTATACTATGAAGGAGTGGGGAAATTACAATAAACCGAATAAAAATACTTAAGACTTGGCCTAAAGGTCTAGATACCAGGCCATAAACTCCAAAAAAAAAATTAAAAATGAAGACGTAAGTACCTATTTATTTTTTAAACAATTTCAATTAACATAGAGCAACACCGGCCACCAGCGGTAAGGAGAGGAGGAGGAGCTTGTTACATATATATTTATCTATGAGGAGGAGTAGTCAGTAGTCCACAAACTTACTATGGAGTATCCATAGTGTTTCGCGTAGTGTATATATTCTTTGATAGTGTTTAACTGGAAACACCTCAACAGTCTGTCATTTATACCAGTATATATGTACATTATAACAGTATCTAGTAGACTCGGATCAATCGCTCGACCGATCCGCGTATTGTATGAGGGCGAGCGGCCTGTGTTTAGTAAGCAAATCCAAAATAATACGACCGTTATTATTGTAATTTACTTATCTATGAAAGGTAAGGCCATCTTCTTGTAAATTTGACGTGGCAGATCTCTTTTGTAGCAAAAAACTGAACAATTCGGCATTTTTGTAGGACGTCGCTTCAGCTGCGCAACTAGATTGAGTCTATTGAGAAGGGTGGCTAGAACTAGTTCTACTGTATGCATAGGACCGCGTCGACTTATACTTTGACGTGAAGCAGCAGTGAACTAGGCCACTGCTGTTTCACGACAACGCAAGACCACACACTGCACAACAAACAACCACTAAGTTAGATGAGCTACAATTGGAATGTCTGCGACATCCACCGTACTCCCCGGACCTTGCTCCAACAGATTACCATTTTTTCCGGAATTTGGACAACTTCTTACAAGGAAAAAAATTCAACTCCGATGCGACAGTCCAAACGGCCTTCAAAGAGTTTATTGATTCTCGCCCCCATCGTTTTTTTAGTAAAGGGATCAACGAACTAGCTATGAGATGGCAAAAGTGCATAGATAACAACGGTGCATACTTTGATTAATTAAATATATTTTACAAAAAAAATTGACTTCATATTCCTCCCGTACAAAACGCCAATTTCATAATAATATACATATTATGTAAGAAGCTAATATTTGCACTGGTTTTTGCTATGATGCGCTCAGTACCGCGGCCGCATTACTTACAGTAGCATTTTATCGGCAGATACTTCAAAAACACACTAGGACTTCAACGCAAGCAACTTCGTACAAACAAGAAGCCCTGGAAATTGCTATTCAAAGAATAAAAACTCATTAGATAACGTTTATATCATCTCATTAAATATTTATCACATTAGATAAAGCTTAGAACTAATTCAGTTTCATGGGAAACTTTCACCCACGTTCCTTTTCCTGGTCTAGTCTACTTTGCTTTACTTTTTCTGACTTCATGCCCATATTCTGATTCTAATTAACTCTACAAATAGAAAATAAAGTTTTTGCCAGTCTCTTTCATCTAGTCGAAAATCCATCCGGTATTACCCCAAACCCCAACGCACCTTACCTATACATTATACAACATAAATATCGTTGTAAAGTTGGTAAGCTTGTTCGTCGTAGTACTATTATACTCTTTTTTTTTTGAGTTTATGGCCTGGCATCTAGACCTTTAGGCCAACTATTATACTCTCATCACTGTAGTGCTGCCAGATCATAAATCCCAATCAGCGCTAACGGCGATACAAAAATCGATTTCGTGTTAACTTTCAACTTTCGCCTATAAATTGTTAAAAAGGGAAAAAAAATAATATATTATATATTAGTAATACAAAAACAACATAAAAAATTGTGATCTTCTAAACATCTTTATTTCTTTTCTCCCATAACCAAAGGTTCAGCTTGACCATGAATGAAGATTTAAATTTATATATTTTTAGACGTTACATTATCCGCTAGGCGCTAAATTTTTAGATGCACACTAGATTTACACCAAAAAGCACTAGATATAACGCCGAAAGCTCTAAAATGCCAGCACTGCACCACGGTGATGACTTTGAACAAATGACACTAGTACTAGTAGTGACAGTAGTACCAGTTACTCCACCGAGTCAGTAATTAATTCTTGGGGCGATGTAGGTATACGCTTTTACAACAAAATTCCAAAAAATATACAAAATTTGACCTGCTCAAAGTTCAAAAACTTTATTAAACTAAGTTTGTATAAAAAAGGTTATTATAATAATAAGGAATTTATTGATGACTAGCTTAACCTAGCTTAACCCGCGGCTTCGCTCGCGTGAGGTTGAATTTAGGAACATTGTTAAATTCTGTTCCGTGCCTAATTTAGCAAAATTCGATCAATTTTAGAGTAAGCGTCGGTATCTGTGTCTCTATGTCTGTCAAAGATATTTTTTTAATTCCAAAAGACTATTAGACGTAGATGTTATTTGTCATAGATATTATAATGTGCTACAGGAACACGTGAATATATATTTCTAGAAACATCTACTATTTTTATATGGGGCGTGTCTTCCTATGTATGAAAGGTAAATTGTCTTGAAATCAAAATGTATTATTATTATTTACATTTTACTCTTTACATTCATTGACAATTGAAGTTAATTTAGTTTAAAAAAATAATGATGAATTTCATGATCTTCTATCAATATACAGTATAATGTTTAGTTGAAAAATTTTATTCATATCATTGGTCCTATTTAATATTGATTGGTACCACAAAATAGATGTAGATAATTATTTTGGGTTCGAGTACACTTCAAAATTTCATAAATGCAGTTCTATAATGATATATACTCTAAGAGATTTAAATATATATGTTACTACTACTTAGATAAATGTCTTTGTATATACTACACATGGAATAAAACTAATGTTACGGATTTTATCACGTTTAATTTTATCTTTTTTTTTACGTAGGATTTTTTGCGCATCTTCAAGCATACTATTCTAACTATGGCATCAGGTCGTCAAACACCTCAGTGCTCCCGTGACCATGGGTGCTGTAAAGTGCCCAAAACATCGGGAATTATAAAAGTTAAAATTAAACGCGATAAAATGTTTAAAATTAGTTTTTTTTTAACTTTATTCACAGTGAACATGGGTAGCACTACACTCATGAACGGGAGTAGAAAAATGTTCGCCTTGTTGTGGCGGTGAAAGAGAATTCACTGCCACATATCGTTCCGTCGTAAGAGGCGACATAGAAAACAAACAGAGATGGACAGCACCATCTTCCTGACAACAGATCAAAATAATAATAGCTGCGGTTCCCAAGCTATGCAAAATTGCAAATGATATCGTCATATGACTATATCATGAAATAGCAACGTGCTGTTTAGTTATTAATATCTTCAAACGACTTCTATTCATTGATTTGGTCAAGCTATATCATGACATGGTCAAACAGTGTTAAATATCATGAAATGATAGACTACTTTACGATATATGATTAATTCTATGACCTGGCCACGACATATATAAAAATATTTTTAACAAAACTATACTGTTAATGAAAAATTTTGCAATTATGCAGACAGACCAGTTTTAAACAGTTTACATACAGATTAGTAATTTAAATGAAAACCTTATTAAAGAACAATGGCCAAATTTCTATAGGGGCTGGACTTAACTTTTATTTTTTATGTCCCAAAACAAACTATAGCTAGATTGGTTTCTTTTTATTTTGTAAACACCATCCCGTAAAACTACATTTGTATTATGATGTACGATTGTGTGTGATGGTTTATGTTCGTGTAATAAAATAAGAAGGTATGTAAATATGTAATATTATTGAAGAATTCCACTTGCGGATCTTAAAAATTACTCTGGTATCAAGCTCAAAAATGAGATGGCGGCGAAGTGTATCAATGCAAATGTTACAATTAACACATAGCAATCGCAGCGATAGTTGTCATTGTTGTGTAGCTGTAGTCTGCATGATGTCTCTCACAAATAAGCAAGATGCAAAATTGGTGTCCAGAAATCAAAAGCACAGAATAATCGTTACAAGTGGTAGTTATCAGTCCGTAAAACAAGGACGAGGTCAAAACAACAGAAGGAAATCTATAATAGTACAGTATCGGTACGTATCACAATCCACAACAAAGAGTGAAGGAAATAAGATGATGCGAATGATTGCCATAGATAAATAGATATGTAGACATATGTAGATAATTGCCGGGTGACAATCAATGGTGTCGATCGATGATCACAGATTATGTTACTTGTCGATGACAAATGATGTTCCGTTGTACGTAATTAAACAAAACGCTTAGCTTACTATGAAGCTACATAATTATTTTTATGACATGAATCCAGTA